AGGATGGAATTCCATAGCGCACTAATGCCAAACGTTCGGTATATTTTAAATGTCTAATCCTCGATCTGTTCCTCGGTTCCCTCCGGATACCCAAAAACAGATTCACAAGACGAACTGGGCTCTCTTCGTGAGGCCAACAAGAACGGCAGACAAAATGAACAGTTTGGTTTACCTCTGTGGATTTTAAGGCAGGTTTATTCACATGATACCCTTGCTACCTGTGACCTTTGAAGTCATACTGGCAGACCATAATTCAATGATATTCAAATATTTGCAACTGCTGGCACTGAATTGGCATGAACTTTCAAAGATATAATTATAACATAAAGGTATACCATTGTCTGGCGATTAATCTGTCTAATCGATTTTTCATTTTGTTTCGCAAACGTTGTTCAGGAATTTAGTTATAGTTGGTTGTTGCTGTTATTTGTTATAACCACTGAATTGGAATAATAATTGTATCTTGGACTTTTTCCTGAGCAACTAGTAAATCATCATTTATTTCCTTTTCTCTTGCTTCTAGTCCTTTCGAACCGATTGTGGAACGTTTTGAAGAGTTTGGTCGAAAGACAGCTGTTGCCAGTCATCTAGGCTGAGATTAAAATCCGGAAATATGTGACTATCTTCAAATATATGGTCAGTTTTTCAACGGTCATCGCATGGAGTATGCATTCACAGCTAAGTAAGAAGCTGCTCAGTTTAATGGCATAGAGACTAGATGGAAGATTCCTTAAGCAGAACGAAGTCCAGTTGCATAATAAACAAAATAACACAACTTGACCAACGGAAAAGAAGTCTACGGCTACACCAAACAGACAAACTGCTCATGACTACAGAACGACTGTGCATACAGCTGTTGTAACTGCGTCGTCCTCAGATGGATGCACAGTGGTTTCAATTCAAATGGGTTCTTAATTCTCTGTGCTACGCCGTAGGCGATTTCAATGCTTCTTTGTCTGGGTATCTTCTGGTGGATGGTGTTCCCGTTCTGGGGTAGCTGTTCTTGCACTAGCGTAGGCTTCCTTCTGACGTAGATCTGTTCGTCTGCTCACTTGAGGCTAGTAGTGTAGCTTGACTACTTGATGTTTAAAGACACGATGAACGGTTTACATTAGATTCAACAAGCCGTGAATTTGGTTCATTGTTACTCAAGTAATTACTAATGGAAACGTAGAGGATGCCGATCAACCAAACTAAAATATTCGAATTTTACTTCGGGGTCACGACATAGTTATTAAACATAATGACACATACGCAGTGCAGCCCATTAAAGTATGGAGGTCTAAAGTCATAACTGCAAGCTAGTTTAAGCATCACAACAGTCAACGTGATTGGTCAGTTCGTTCCATCACACCTTTCGGTTCTCAACTATTAGATGCTTAAAATCGCTCTATTCACGATGAAAAGGATTGCTAGGTCTAATTCAGCACTTTTATAAACGATGAACAACTAACAGTAAGAGAACTGTTGGCAAACTGTCCACAGCAAACTTCTTGACCTCGACCTCATTGGACTCTCGAGATCGAACTATATGTGAACCGTGAATCTAGGTTAAACGGGATGCTGAACGGAAGGTCGATGTGGTCATCAGCTTCAAAGCTTAAAAATGAAGCCCAGTCAAAAAGATAGTTGGTGTCACTAACACCAAGCCATGTAGCATGCTATTTCGTAGTGCTCGCTTCAGAAGATCAGGGCAGGGTAACTGATATACAAGAAAAATCGACAGGTTCAGAAATTCAAGCATTACCGTTTAATTTCATTAATTATCTCCAATTATGCGAAAGTTAATTATATAATATGTACTGCACGAGTGAAGAAGTTGAAGTGGTAACGAGTAAAACACGTGGCAAGAAGAACCGACAATCGCTGAACCATAGGGACGTTCGACTGAATTCCAGCAGGTAGTAAACGGCCTGCAGGAAGACCTCTGGGTCGTTGGCAGAGTGAGTTGAAGAAGCCCGTTAGGGGATCAAGATGGATGAGAATGGCAGAAGACAAAAGGGTATGTGAAAGTCTTGGAGAGGCCTTCAGTCAGCAGTAGATGGAAATGGCTGATGATGTTCCTTAGCGATTTGACGTTCGCTGAGAATGGCCAGTAATGATTTGCCGAAATGTTAGAGGTAAAATAAACACTTTAATATCAGTCCTTTTGGCACCTTTACTTTTGCTGCTAGATTTTCAAATAAGGTACATGACTATCATCAGGTAAAGCAATTACTAAACAACGACAACCCTGTTGTTTTTCCTGTGTATTAGCAGTTTTGTTCGACATTCGTATTGCTCGCTGTGTTTATAACCAGCGAATCGAATATACATATTGAAGAAGACAGAATCGAAATGAGGTATTACAATCATTAGTATCATTAGCTTGGCACAGCCGCTTCATCGAATCTCCTGTTGCAACAGAACGATCACTGATCATGTATAGTCCTACCCATTTCCGTGTATACCCGTAACGTGTATATCCTCGAAATGACGAAGAAAATGTAACTCTTCGGATTATGGCGACTTCCTCAACGAAACTTAGTACAGAATTAACGGAAGGAGTATACTGGATAAAAAGCACATATCCATGTATTCAAAATCACAGGTAAACATAGCCTCGATAGTTCGGGTTAGCTACCACCATATGAGTGGGTTATGTTTTGCTTCTATGCTTGCCGAGTGACAAATGGTGGCAAATTGAGTCTGTACTCGAACGCGACCTTGTTTACTCGACCTTTGCGATGCGGATCTACATCGGTGCGCTGTACATGCTCAAATACCGCATAGTCATGGTCTGATTAGACGGCCCACTTAGACGACTAGAAGCAGTTGGGCGGTAGGCGGCATATAAATATAAATATATACTACACAGCCAGCTGTTCATTATCGACTCGATTACTTGTTTGCCCGAATGCGTTTTTCCGCGACAATGAGGTAGTAGGTGCATGCAAATTAACGATGGGGTGGGATTTCTCACATTCTCTCACAGCGTTAGTGCTTTCGCTGCTTTTGAACTGTCCGTAAACGCCGATTTGCGCTAGCTATATTGGGCGTAATAAAGCGGCCCCTTTTAACCGACGATCAGCCGATCATTGGTCACGGCCTTGACCATTAAGCACCCCTTTCGACCGCCATCAACCGACGATTGATCCGTATCGATCAGCGGAATAGCTCGGTTGTTTAATCAGGCAACGGAGCATGGCAGTACATGAGTGCTTTGCACACGTCCGATGCCGTTACCTCAGTTGCGAGGGCAGAGTCATATCGATTGAATTGCGCCGACGACGCCATTCATCATCGGCTGAGGTGATTAATTAGCCCGGTTGCACTGATGGGTCGCATTTAGGGTAGCATCGAGATACTGCTGCAGCGTGCCACCGCCTCCACGTCCAAATAGCGAACATGGCGAGGGACCACGGCGACGAGGACAGGAACAGTGAACGCGAGGCTCGCGAAGAGCGAGACGCGATGGACGACGACCGGGTGCGCCTGAAACGATCCATCTCCTTGATGAACGGTGTCACAATCATAGTCGGATGCATCATCGGCAGCGGAATCTTCGTTTCGCCCAAGGGGGTGCAGGAGCGTAAGTTCAACATTCAGGTCGTTAACTCTTTTCACACCTTTATATTGTAAGCTGCGGTTTTTTGTAATATATGTGTTATTCTTTTCTATGCTATGTTTAGAACGTTCTGTCAATAAACTGGAGTTCTTGCTGCGGGATGACACCATAACGCATTTTTTCCATGCCTACCAGTCGCCACCTCTGTTCAGAGGGTACGCAGATGATAAGAGATGTTGTGACACTCGATTGCGGTTTCATAACAGAAGGGTTGAGATCAGTAAAGATATTTAGGTACTGAACTAGGAATTGGGATTGTCGTTCTTACCGAAAGTATAGGAAACGAACAATTTGCTGGTAATCCAAGAACAGCGGGTTGACTTTTGTACAATGACGGACTATAATGGAGTATTATTCTTGTCCTTCACAGATGATTCCAAAGATTTCGTTTCCTGTCATAATTGCTTTGTGTTTGAGTACTGCAACAAAGTGACAGAAGTTGTGTGAATTCTCAGTAGTATTACTGCGTAAACGATTTCCAGTTGCCATGCATAGAATTTTTTACCTCTTGATTTAAACTATGCCAACTCGTCCATACAAATCAAATCCTGTTAATCCTCCATGGTGCAGAGTTAACTGCTTCAAAAGATCTTCCCGGCACCTCTTGTGCTTCACCAATCACCAATCAAGCAAGCTCCAAGAACTGGATTTCAAGGCGTGGCAATGCTCATTGTTCATCTTGTTGGAGCTATGCGGTTACCATTTGACAAATACACGAATACTTTATCTAAATCCAGTGATACGACGATAATTCGTATATTACATAATGCATGGTCTGATAAAAATGAAAATGCATCCCTATCTTAGATGCTGGAAGCGTCGGACTATCGTTGACTATTTGGGTGTTCTGCGGTTTCTTCTCAGCCGTCGGCTCGTACTGCTACGCTGAACTTGGAACCTTGATCAGATCCAGCGGTGGTGATTATGCGTACATCACGGAGGCTTTCGGACCTTTCATTGGATTCATGCGTTTATGGATCGAAGCCATTGTCGTCAGGTAAAACAAATTTGCAGTCGATAGCAGTCCATCACCAAGATCCAAGCATGATAGGTTAGGACTCGAGTGCTGAACAGCCAAGTTAAAGAATATGAGTTAAAATTTTGGCCGGGTTATTCATTTTTGATGACATCCATATCGCTAGAACAGTAGCACGGTACGTAAATGACAAGTACGTGCTACAAACCGCACAGAGGTCGCATAGGTGCATATATCGCCGTACAAAATATAGCACTGCTAGTTGACGACGTTGTAACGGCCTTGGAAACCGCACCTTAAGTTTCGTGAACGAAAAGAGCAGGAAATGATGCTCATCACATGGGTAGGCAGAAGATCGGCTGGCCATATAGCTTATGCACTGGATTACTTCTTACATGCACATTCTCCTCCCTCATCATCAAGGAAAGAAACGTATGGTCACGCTGTTGGATTCTAATGTGGGCGGATTCACTACTGCGGATAATTGAACGCGTCTGCCAGCACCACTGAGAATATGATGGCTTCGCTTTCGACGGTTGGGCCTTGTCGGTGTTAATGTGTTGCAGATGGCAGTGACGTTTTCTGAGCAATAAGTATGCAGTGGAAGATGGCGACTAAATCTCGATTCCTCGGATGCATCGTCGTCTCAGCGACCATACCAACCGATTTCTCTTAAGCAGGATGTTTCATCTTTTCCAGTTCTTTTGGTAGATTGTCCAGTATATTAGCTGCAACCGGAATTCCTTGCAGCAGAAATCAGTCTAGAGCTTGACTCAATTCGTCTGTTACTGTTACAAAACATAAGCTAGCGACCATCTAAGAGCACTGAACAGCATTGGCGTCGAAGCATCGCAGCCGGAACTTGTGAAAAATGAGTCTTGTCTTGCGACAAAATCAGTAAATGTTAAAAGAGGAAAATGAGGTTGGTCTTCGACCACGTGACGCCCAATTACTTTAAAGTTTTACTCCAGCCCTCTAGTCTCTCACGTAGAAACAGATACGGGAAACACGTCGACCATGAAATCGGCAAATCTCTAGCCACCGGGGAAATGTTTTCTTTTATGATGCAATCGCCGGTATCATCTATGAAAAAGTTGCGATGGTGAGATAACTACACAAATGTTTCGAAGCGAGAGACAATTTAAACTAATGGCAGTAACAGACAACTTCAGGTTACCTCGAAGAATAGACGTTTCCTTCAGGCAATAGCGGTTGCAATTGAAAAGCATCGCTAACTACGGCTTTACTATACTCTAATGGCTGCTGGAAATGACCCCAACAATAAGAGTAAAATATAATGACCTCATAGAGGTGTCTACAGATACGTGACACTTGACTCCGGTCCCATAAGAAAAGCTATAAGGTTTTATTTCAGTAAATACACACTGCGTGGCCACTGTTATCAGAGCCTATTTTATAGTGTTCGTCAATGTTAAAAGGCCAAAGGGTCTCCAGGATTTACGGTTTCCTCCTGGACGAATCATCTCCCATTTATGAGATAGTATTTCATGATCACGTCCTTATGTATAAACGATAAGAGTATGTCGGCTCAGGGGGACAGGCTGGCACAGCTCTAGTTTATACCAGCCTGACTCTTGCGTAGGATAAAAGATCATCATGCACAAGATATAAGCGGCTGCTAAAGTGGTTGTTTTTATCTATAAATCTTCCATTTGCATTTTGTAAAACAAAATCGTTTTTTTTGCTGGGACTGTGAAAACCAACTTTAAAACCGACATATATCCCAAGATGACATGCAATGTGTCATTAGTTGGCACCAAATCTTTCGAATTGTCATTTGAAGCATGTCAAACGACGGTGCGTAACTCCGCCAGTGTTTCACCATACCGTACCATAACATTTCTATCTAAAAATACTTTTTTTAAACCTTTGCATCTTCGGAACTTTAAACAACCTTTATTGAATCCATGAGTTTCACTGTTTTAATACTACTTATGATGTGATTTTTAGGCCATGCTCTGCGACCATAGTTGCGCTTACTTTCGCGAAGTACATTTTGCAACCTTTCTACGGATACTGTGCCATTCCCGATCACTGTGAATCTCTTCTGGGAGCATGCGCCCTCTGTAAGCGCGTATGAATATGTTTCTAATGAATCTGTTATGTATGTATTGCTTTTTGCCTGTTCAGTCTCTCTAACACTGGTCAATTGCCTCAGCGTCCGGCTCGCAGCCAAAGTTCAAGACTTCTTCACTGTCGCCAAATTGCTTGCGCTGTTCCTCATCATTGGCACGGGGTTGTACGAAATTGCTATTGGTACGGTTATATACGTACGTATACACACACAGATGCATGGGTACATGCTTACGTACACACATACATACATACACATACATGCATACATACATACATACATACATACATACATACATACATACATACAT